AGCTTTATCTATTTCTGTTAAATGTTGCTGTCCAAAACACAGTAGAATTGGAGTTTGTATTGGCTCAAAAAGAGGAATTTTGCCGGTGCCTTTTAAGGGAAGGTTTCAGATGGTATTTTCTTCGTTACAGCAGGCTGTTTCTTTAACTGGTAGATGTTTCAGGCTTTTAGGGTGATGATATCCAACTGAATTCTTTGAAAAGAAATAAGATTAATGACTGAGGGTGATAACGATTACAGTGTACGATGTTTGGCGAAAAGACAGTCGTCAAACTTGTATTTGTATTTGTTATTGATTGACCAGGTGAGATCAGAACAGTCCTGAGCGATGGAAGTCGGCAACAGACATTTTGACTTAATGCATACCCAGAATCCTTTAAGCTCAGATTTATTATAGAGAGATATAAAAAATGAACGCTTTTGAAAGACAAATAACTCATTGGTTTTTAACCATATCTCACATCAAATGAAACTGAATTTTTCAAAACAGGGTACCGGTCAAGTCATTAAGGGATCACTTAACATTTCGCACTCTGTGTTATCAGATAATGTCAATACTGTACGATATAAATAGAATCTCGAAGAAAAAATACAGAGGTGTACATGTAACTCTTTTGTTAGGAAGCTGATAGCTAATCAGATAAATATGTACCGAACTTTTAGTCAATCTTAAACAATCTGATGTCCAGGATCCGATTTAAGGGGGAGCCAAGTCGGGAAAATGTCCAGAGATGCATTCATGAGGGGAGACAAAATTGAGCGCCAAGCATTGCATGGAGAAAAATCTTATAATCTTTTTGTTTCGTTTCACAAGGATTACTCATCCGTGTTGAGAGAAGTAATCATTTCAGATAGTTTGAATGCAGGTAATATAATGTTTTATCCTACAACGCGACGTTTTACCCGAGGTAAAAATGTTCAGTCTCTCAGAATCTCTGAAAGTGAGACATCGAGCCTCTCTGCTGTCGCTGAGAGAGACTGTCGACAGACTGCCAAAGTCTCGGAATGAGAGACTCGAATCTCTGAACGAGAGACTCAAATCTCTCAATGGTGTCTCGATAGACGGTTAAAATTTTCAAGTTCAACATATTTCAGAGATCCCAGTCTTTGCACGAGAGACTTGAGTCTCTCAATTTTTCAGTTTTATTCATTCAATCTCTCTGTGAGAGACTCGAATCTCTGAATTAACAATTTTATCGTTCGAGTCTCTCATACAGAGACTGTGAGAGATCCATAAAAACACCTAGGCAATAACTGAGAGACCGCGAAAGACTGTGAGAGACGCTCTCAGAGACGCTGAAAGACTCTGAGAGACTG